AAAAAAAAAAGAAAAGAAAAGAAGGACTAAAGAGTGACTGTGTAGTAAAATGAAGGACTGTAGCGGTAGAATTGCTACGAATAAGGGTGGTATTCTAAATTATTCGTGTTATTATCATAGAGTTTTATATTTGACCTGCTGGACATTTTCTTTGAGGAAAGATAAGTAAGTCTCGATTAGGCAGGTCTTGGGCGTTATCATTGGGGGCTGTAATCTTGGCTAAACTGCTGTTCTGGGATGAGGCTCCTACTACTGCAGGAACAGGAGCCACTGCCAAGATAATCCTTTAGATTGCTACAAGCCACTTACAGCGGAACATACCAATTACCAGATATCTGTTGCTCAAAATAGTATTCTGATTGCAAGAGCCCCGATTCATAGTACGTGGTGATAGTTATACAGTCATCATGTTACATCCACTATGTTCTTTGCTTCGTACTAACATAGAGAGACCATAACGACTGTCTTAGAACCGCTGGTGCTATGCTGCTTCGCAAGTAGTTCCATGTCCTGGCCATATGCTAGAGATAAGCAATACCACCCTGGAAGAGACTTAACCGTGGCGAATGATCACAAGTGAGTGCGAAAATTCTCTCAATCCTTCATCCTTCATCGTGCGGTCCAAATGGGCAATTCAAATGTGCGGCTCTGCCAGCAACATAACTCTTACTGGCCACTTTCCACAGACGATGTGAGAGGTGATGTGATAATTCTACGCGATGGATCAGACTCCAATGGCGAGCCAATGTATACTCGGGTATATGATGAAATCTGGGTCTGCCAAGACGGCCAAGGCGGATAAATCGTTGCAGGATCGGATCATGGGTATGGATATTCTCATTTTTCCCATCCTGATCGCCGATGGATTCGGAACTCTGTGTAGTATTCTGCGCAGCTACACGTAAGAAGGGTTCACATAGCTACTGAGCGAAATAACTTCATTGAGAAACCAGCTCTGCTGACCACCTCCAAGTCTCGGCGATTGAGCTTATCATTGGTCTGGACGCTAGCTGAAATGCGGTTAGACTCACGTGGAGCAATGTCATTGGTGGGGCGATGTAGTTATGCTTATCTTGCAACCCTATAGCTAGACTGTAACAGCATAAACATCTCTTTCATTAGCAGTCAGGTAGGATTAAAAGAAAGCTGAACATCCATGATGACCTAAGGGCGCATATCTCTGCTTGAGCTTGCAAGTTGAAAAACACAACGTATCCCGTCTTGTTGTGGCACCCTTCTTACTGCTTCTATCATCCTTCTGGTGCGTGATCGGGTCATCAAGTGGGCATCAATGGATTGAATCATTTACTTCACTCGACAACCCATTATTTCACAATTCAAAAATGGCAATCTTTCTCCCCGACCAAACCTGGAGGGATATTGAGTCTCTCATCCGTGAAGCCCTCAGTGCTAGGGAGACATACCGAACACAAGCCCAAAACGCCCGCACCTCAGCCGCAGCCTGGAAACCCGTCATGAAACTCCTATCCAAGTTCCCCGAAAACACATTCAATCACACTGAGGTCACCGACATCAACCCATACGGGAGAGAAGTGCTCGTCGCTTTTACAGAAGGTATCTGGGCATTCAGCCTTGGGCCTATCCTACATGATCTGGACTGTCCTCAGACTGCCACAGACCTGTACTCGTATTTTGCTCAGGACTTGTACCAAGTTTGGTACAATACCGACGGCAGAGGACGTACTTATGCAACCCTGTTCAGTGAAGTGACGAACAGTGTGGCGGATTATAATCTGATCACGATGGATGCCGTCGCACGACAGGGGCTGGTCAATTCGCCACGAGCAGCTATGGCTGCGCATGCTTGGATCATTACGAACGCCATGCATGGGAATAACGATTGGGAGATGATACAGAGAGCTAGAGAGCTTTGGGAAGCGAGATGTGGACCTTTTGTGGTAGCTACGAATTAGCTGTGTTTCAACTGTCTCTATCAGTGACGCACTGGGAGGGAGAATGAATGAGGGACTGCGGGAGAACAGACTGGACTTTTTCGATTCATAAGCTATAATTACCACCAATGCCTCAATAGAAAATCGACGTCGAACAGGGATCCGATCGCTTGTGTGCCTTGATCAAAACGCGGGGTAATATTAACAGACCGGCATATACTACCAGGGTCATGTACACTCCCGCGGTGAGTCCTACCCAGCGGCTACCAATTTTGGAACCCATTAAGGCACAGCTCTCTCCAATTCGAGTTATGAAGTGATGTTTTGACAAGTCTTGGTGCATACCCCGCGTAATGTAACATTCTAGCCGATATACCTGCCTAAAGCACGTTGTGATTGAAGTCTATTCCATCACCTGACTCAATTGATCGTCACTAAATCACTCTACGGATGCAACACTGGGCGGAAGCTTGTCTCTTACTCGGCTCTTATTTCACATGGAAAAGACTTTTGGGTGCTGTGCCTTGCGATTCCCAGACTTCTCATTGCTTAAAAAGCCTCATCATTGCAGCTGATCTAGTAGTTACTCACCCCTCAATGTGAGGAACCGTCTTGCAATCATGGCTCTCAAAAAATCTCTGGCTATACTGAGCCTTGTCGTGGGCTCTATCGCTGAGCCATACAACACCTTCGACGGCCCCGGCTTCCCAGCCTGCAACAACGTTTCCGCCGTCCACGATGCCGCCAGCGTGAAGGACATCCAAAACATCGTCCAAAATGCCATCCAAGCAGGTCAGAAAATACGCGCCTCTGGAAAAGCACACATGTGGTACGACACAATGTGTTCTGATGATCCAAATACTGTCATTGTACGTACAGAGAACGTCAATAACATTTATGATCTGGACCTCGAGGCTGGCACTGTCATGATTGAGGCGGGAGTGACGTTCCTTCAACTCGCCGAGTATCTGCATGATCGTGGTGCGTCGGCGGGGTATACCCTTGTCAATTGGAATATCACTTTGGCTGGATGTGTGGCCATGGGCGCTCATCGATCGTCCATTAGAGAGGACTCTATGGTCGCTGCTGGTGTTTTGGAGATGGACATCGTCGATGGTAATGGTAAGTTGCGACATCTCGAGCGCGACGATAGCGATGACTGGCTTGCTGCCTCGACATCCCTCGGACTCCTGGGCGTCATCGTCAGGATGAAGTTCAAGATCTATCCTGACTTTAAAGTCTACGCCGACCAGAAGACACTTGACGAGTCCGAAGTTCTGAATGGCGATATCTATGGCATGATTGCGCCTTACGCTACAGCCAACTTCTGGGTAAGTACTGACCATCCTTTATGGAATGTATGCTTACCGGAAATAGTGGTGGCCTCACAAGAAGAAATTTCACTGGCGATACTACGACGTCATTCCCACCAACAAAAGCGACCAAGAAGGCTTCCAAAACACATTCTCCATCACCAAACTCGAAGCCGGCGCTATACAAGCCATATGGAACACCGGAAAAGGCGCGTCCTTATCAAACCTCCTCGCCGAAGAAATCCTTTTCGGACAATGGGAAAACCCCAACTTTCGAGAAAAGACAAGCAACGAACCCATCACCAAATGGCCTGTCTACGGGTGGAACTATGACGTTCTGATCGGTGGTTTATACCCTGACCAGAAGCCCGTGTGGGAGTACGGTATTCACGGGTACACATTGGAGCTCGCCTTTCCTATTACCCAGGCCAATGCGATGCTGAAACGTGTACGTCAGCTTTTTGACGCTGAAGCTAAGAAACTCAAGTTCATGGCTTCGACCTACAGAAGTGGTATTAACATCAAATTTGGAAAACCGTACTTTGACCTTCTTGGGCAAGTTACGTACGGTACAGCTGATGGGGCGGACTGGGATAAGGGTGTTATCATGCTGGATTTTCCATCGTATAAACCTAACATCGGCGATGGATTGCGATACAATGAGCCGTTTTGTAAGTTGGGTTTAGAAAGGGAAGAGTTGCAGCTGACAAGATACAGATCACAAACTCGCGGAAGTACTCATCGATGAATTCCCTTCCCGTCCGCATTGGACGAAGAATACAAGAGAGGTATTTGAGCGATCTGCCAAGAACCTGGACCCTGATGTAAGCTTACCTCCAGTTGGTGGTATGGCAAAATGCTAATGGATATGTGACAGCACATTTCTCGATTTAAAGCTGTTCGTGAGAAGTTTGACCCTGAAGGCGTTTTCCGAAGTGTTGTTGGCGAGGCTATTGGGGTATATTAATTTATCAAGTTGGATGAAAGATTAAGCAAATGCCATGTATCCGGCGTGTTGTGCTTTATAAGCTACGTTAGTGGGGTCCAACCTCGTATGTTCCGAAATGGCGGCCGACAATTCTCAACAATGTATAGAGAACTGGCTAATCCTAGCCTAGATTTAAATTTAGTCAGCCTTTGTCATTAGGTAGTCAGAATTACAGGATCTTATATAAGAAAGGATTACTTGGAACCTTCCAATTGCTTTTAAAAGCTTGAACTTCTGGCTAACTCCCACAAAAGTAATTGCAAAAATGAAGAAGAGGAGTGTATCAATTTCAAGAGCCGTACTCCGATAGAAGGACCTTTAATCATAACCGTCGCTACAACCATGGCAATCACCGCACGCCAAACGTCAAGCAATGGCCGCGATATCGAATCACGGCCGAGCACCGAGCCTCTGAACCCGCGATACCAAAGCAACAACCCACCTTTCGCCGGAAGACTTGGTGCCAACCAAGCATGCGTGGTCGATGGCACAACTTTGGAAGATCAGAAAATACTAGAACATCAACCCGATGCTACGCCTCACATGTCATTTAGCGAATTGATTGATATGCGCCCGATAACGAATGTCAATTTGTGGAAAGCAGCTCTGATAGAAGGAATCGGTAACAGGGACCTGAAACCTCTGTTTCCGAAACGTGGCTGACTACTTACAGGCACATTGATGTTTGTCTACATCACTATATGGGCGAATGCTTCACCCGACGCGATTCCTACAAGACCGACAGCTCAATTAGGCAATTTCGACAACGCTGCGTTTGTTGGGCCATTGATCGGCGGTATCCTCAATTTCTTGTTTGTAACACTCTTCATTACCGCCTTTGGCGCCGTATCAGGCGCACATTTCAACCCTCTGATCACGTTTGCGACATTTTGTGCCAGACTCTGCTCACTTCCACGTATGGTCCTGTACATCTCTGCCCAAGCTGGTGGCAGTGCTTTGGCTGGACTGTTGGTCAGAGCGAGCTGGGGAAGTAGAGATTTTAAGGTTGGAGGGTGCTGGTTATACACAGATGTGGTGCCGCCTCGTGAAATCTTTGTTGTTGAACTTGTATCTGCTACACTTCTTTTGTTCCTTGCTTTTGGTGTGGGTTTGGATCCAAGACAGGCTAAGGTTGTTGGTCCTTCGCTGGGGCCATTCCTTGTAGGTCTTAGTGTCGGGACGATGAGTTTCGCTACTGCTTTTACGAGATATGGGTATGGTGGCGCAGGGTTGAATCCTGCTAGGTGTATGGGTGCTTTTGTTGGTAGTAGATTTTCAGGAGGGCACTGGATTCACTGGTATGCGTATATTGCTTCTGATCCTTCGATATATACTAATAACTATCCTAGGGTTGCCGATGGTATTGCTTGTATTGTACATGGTCTTGTTTACTACTTCGTCCCGCCTTGGACTGAGGTAAGGAATTAGAGATACACGGAAAAAGATAGAAGACTTGATTGTGCTGCGGATTATTAGCTAGAAGGCAAAACTACCTGCTACAAGGGGGATAATATTGCTATTTTGCCTGCAACCGATTTTCAATGAGGATTTGTTGCAGCGAGACAGGTCGAACGACCTCTGCTGAAAGCCTCAACTCGCGGATCGCATCGCCATGACACTCGATCGTGCTCGGATCAATCAAGGAACTTCGTACCTCGAGCGTCTCACGCGCAACTCTATCCCAAGCCCTCCTAACCGCAGGCGATAGACCATGGCCCCACGTCCCTCGTACAGTGATCATAGCTGGTTGCCCATCCCGAGCCCTCTCATATCGAATGCCACACCCCGTCTACCGTTCCAAATCTCCATCGTCTCCAGTTTCGGCATTTGTAACGCTGCTTCCGCGGCACTTTGGAGCATCCTGTTTATATCCTCTGGGTTCGCATCTGCGGTAAGGATCCCCGACGTTAGCTCTAGACAAGTCAGTTTATACCACCTCCAAGACCCTCGACACGCTTGGAAGAAGTGAATAGCGTCAACCAGGAAAGAAGCGGATAGTCTCGTGAGGAGCAAGCTAGCGCGGGCGAGCTTTTGGCTCACGGCTAGATCCGGCACCCTGATAGCGTCAACAGGGAAGGACTTTGTCGAGTAGATTTCTGGGTAGGTTTCGTTGAAGTTCTCGAATATTGTCAAATTGCACAACTGCGTCGGAGCAAATGATTCAATAAGCGTCTGGGTCCCTGTTACAAGTCAGTTAGCGGCTGCATTACCGGGGATTGGTGAAGCACTTACGCTCACTGATATGTATCTCATTGATATTATCCCATTCTCTCCAGGGTTCGTAACAGAGGTCCTGCATGTTCGGGAGCCGTGTCAACATGTTGGCGAGGGCCGTCTGCTTCCATCTTCGACGGGTTTGCTGGCGAAGAAGGACCTTGCCCACGACGGGTACCGAAGGGAGATTCCTCCACCATCTCTGTTGGCTCATCGGGGAAGGGTCGCTGTTCCATTATCTCATCAAACGTACATTCGATAGCGTCATCGATAGGAGCCTTAGTTTGATGTCCGTCGGTCCAGCCATGAGCCGGAACGTGTAACTCGTGTTCGGATGGGCACTTGGGAACATCTGTATCTGAGCAAAAGGTGAGGTACTTGAACCAGTGCTTGTTGTCACTGGGTGAATAGACACTGATGTCGAGTACCAAGTCACCGCGAGGCTCCCAGGTGCTCAGTCTCGTAAACAAAGTGTGAAATGCATCCTTAATGATGTCTTTATCAGCAGAATCCATGCCCCACAAGCTGTCATCTTCGCCGGTACATCTTGTGCAATCGTATCGCCTCAGCTCCACGCGAAACCAGACATAGCGGACGAGATGTCTCTTTCGAAACAAAATGTTGTATAGATCGGTACCCCAACACGTAGTAGCGTCAGGCTGCTCTCTGCAAAGTTGAGCGGTTCGATAATGGATTGCCAAGCCGAGCAAACTGTGGCGAGCTCGCTGCACTTCCTGCCGACACTCGGCAAGAAACGAGCAATTTCCAGTTGATTCTCGACTGGTAAGCCACCCCAGAGATTTTGTTACTAGCCATCTCTAGTTCGGTTGGGTGATGTCGAAGTCTCAGTGTTCGATGGTGTTTAGGGTCAAGCCAAAGGAGATACGGCGGGCTACACTTAGAAGCAAACATCACACTTACCAAAGAATAATTGGATCAATAAAGTCTTATAACTCAAAATAGAAGCCCTGGACTTGTAACCTTAATCGACGAGGGAAGCTTTGTTCTATCCAGTACCCTCGGAAGTTAAAAGGATCAGTAGAGACCAATGACATGATATCCAGCAACAGATTTTCCCTGTGGGCGAGCGTTTCCCGAACCTTTCCATTGTAACATTTGCAGAAATACACTTTCCACCCTGCATTATGACTCCGTTGCAAACCCAGCCTTGCCCTCACATAAGGTTCAGGCGCTAGACCTAGCTATTCAATCTTTCCAGCTCTTTGTCCGCACCTTGACGGATAGCCACAATGGTGGCTTGAGTTTCCTGCCAGTCAGACAGAGCGCACTGCCATTCGGCCAAAGTGGCTCGGCCAGCAGCGGCAGCTTGGCAACGTCGGAGGGCGTCTTGTTGATCGGCAAGAGCGGGGCGGAGGGCGATGGTTTGAGGTTCGGAACTACGAACGTATGTTAGCAGCTGTGAAAGATAGTAAAAAAGTAGGGGCAGATTTGCTTACATTTTGTTTTGTCAACTGTGCAATGAGTAGTGTGTAGCTGGTGGATGGTGGGAGGAAGAGAAGATAACAAGAAAAAAGCAAGGGGGGGGGGGGGGGGGG